TTGCTGCCTTAACAGAATTTTTGTATGAAAAAGCACATTTGGCCAGTTCACCAGCACAATCACACACACATACACACACATATATACAGTGTATATATATTTAATCTAGAATCCCACAGTTACTGGTTTCTTCAAACACTGAATCCGCAATCTTTCCATTCATCCTCCAGAGATACAAATTCTGCCAAGTGTTTATTTCCTATTCAAGCCCAAACGTCTACTGGCTCAGGTTGGCAAAGCATATGGGTGGTGTGAATAATTGCCTGGTGTTTTCCTTTGACGTGCCAAGCAATTTCAATCAGGTGTTGAACAATGAAGCACCAAAAGAAGTTTCCAGACATCTGAGTCTGCTCACCACGTCTATTCATTTACTACCAGGGCCGGAGCAGAATATAAATCACAATATGCCTGCGTTAGTTTAGAGTGAGGGGCCCACAGCAAGGGAAGGATGGAATCACATTTAGAGTCTACATTTTCAATTTACAGACACTTTACAGAGGCATTCTGTTCCATGAATCACAACCATGGTGGTTTCACTAGGCACTTACAGGGTCTGGCCCCTAGGGGCAACTAACACATATCTTATGAATAAATGTCTTTATTGCTACCTTTTATGTTCTGTGAGATAATATGCAGATATATTAATCTTTTACATTTAGTTTTCAAAATGTTGGGGTCAGATTTATCTGTTTTATGAAAAAATACATTTTCCTCTGTCTTTACCTTTCTGTGTCCCTGCGTTCTATATGTTCTATATTTATAATAATAGAATGTTTGATTGTGAACACAATTTATGTCTGTATGCTGCAGATCATTGATCTAACACTTGGCTTCCATCCATATACCCTCACCCCCAAGCCATGACATGAGTGCAGCAGGGTTTCCTCAGCAGTTCTATTATTTAATTTTGTTTTCTGAAGGTAACGCATGCAACTGACATTCCATTCCATCACACACACACACACACACACACACATGCTAACAGCTCACCGTCCCCCATAATCTTTAGCCTCCCCGTGACCAATTCTGATTGAATCCCTGTTGTCAAATTTTACTGCTGATGTGCCAAAAACAGTGCTAATGGTAAATGCAAGTGTTATTCCCATGCAGACTGTGTGAACTCAGACTGTCCTCTGCAGGAATAATGACCTACACTGTGTTTACGTTTGCCTGATGAGAAGTCCCCTGAGGTCCTGACTGCCATCACTGTCCTCTGATGACAACGCTGCTTTTACTTCTAAGAATATGAAACACAAGTTGTCCTGAGGGGCCGCAGAATGCTGGAGTTATGACAATTACTAGAAAAATAAGCTAAGACACCAGTGACAATGGCAAATAATTGGCATTTAGGGGAATACATTATTCAAAATAAAATAAAAAAAAAGATTGATGATTAAAAAGGGAAAATGTTAGAAACACATCAATGGAATTTACACTTTGGACAAAGATCACAAGTCACATGAGAACAGTTTGATCATAAGTCCTTTCATCAGACATAAGACAAATTCAGACAAGATTCATGATATTTGTTGTACACTTTCTCAGCTAAAAAACTAAACTGTATCTCGCTGATGGAAAGCTGTATCTTTTATATTTCATTTAAAGCCTTTCAAAGACACGCCATCATGTCCACCAACAGCTCCTAAATCTGTACAGTCAACTCTTAACATTCCACTTCTTCCAATATCAGTCTCTATTCATTCTCTGCACTATTTACAAACACTCTCTTGTGGTTAACCTACATGTTTTGATTTACACTCAGTTACTTTTATGCCACTCCTAACTTTATAATACAGATTGCATTTAGTTCTTTTAAGCATAAAAATTACAACCACAAATTACAGTTTATTAAAACACCAGTGAGTGAATAAGCCACACTGTAGAGATTGGCTCACGTCCTTGTTCTCAGGGTCACTGTCACTTGCATGCCAGCTTTGCTGGTTTGGATGCCACTGGCCATGCAACACAGATACTGACTGATGCTGGCAGTTGCTCTATTTGGTTGGCAGCTCTAAGTAAAGGGAGGGGGGAAAAAAAGATAGAATTAAAGAACTGAAGCCAGAAATGGTGCGTGTCAGGTGTGAGCGCTGCAGGTTGACACAGCATAAAATTACTAGACCAGGTTTGAAAACCTTAATTACAGCTGCTTGCTAAAATTAGAATATATTTTTCACCCCTAGACCAACTATTTAAAATCCGTTTCATGTGGTGAAATTATCCCTGCATTTTCCCTCCAGGGAGCCTGATAAAATTGTATTTCATATCACCAGAGGCAGGGAGTTCACCCACATACCCACAACCTTTAGGAGTGGCCTACATTTTGCAGCTCATTCTTCATGCTTGGGAGTCAGTGTTTGCGTAATGTCCTCCACCGTTAAGCACTTTACGGCGCACCGTCTTAAAAGTGTAAAGTAAAAGCATGCAGTTAAATGCAAATGTTAAATCTATAAAACAGGTTTGGCACTGAATTTAAAGAGGGACGTAAATGAAGGAAGAATTAATATTCAACACTTGGCTACAACTAACCCTCCATGATGCATATCATGAATACATATTCCAGCACAAATTACTGAGTAGAATGCAAAAGGAAAATCTACAAATGTACAAAAATAGATCAGCTCCCTCTGACACATTTTTTCCCCTCCTCACAGCTCCATTCTGTGGCCAACGTCAGCAGCTGTGAACAAGGGGTATTTCTCCACAGGGACCCTGGCCTCCTGGTGGCAGGGGCCCCACACTGTTACAGACTGGAAGGTCAGAACCAGCACATCAATTATGGCTCAGGTGTCCAGCCAAACCCATGTCTCTACACACACTCACAGAATGTCTCTCTGGATAAATGCCCAAAATGTAAATGTGGCACAGCCGAGCCCCCAAGGATGTGGCACGTTTTCCTGTTGCAGAAACATCGTTGCTTGTCGTGACAGTTCAGCCATCTGCTCCACGGGCCCTTTGCTCAAGGGCAATTGAAAGACATTTGCCCACTCGAGCATCTCTCTCTCGTTCTGTTTATCTCTGTTTCTGCTTCTATTGAATGCATGCCGTATGAGACCCAATATTCTGACCTAGTTGAGATAATCAACAGTGGTGATATTTTGCATTTTGCCTCACTGACACTGTTTGCACATACAGTACACGGCATGTTGCCCTGTGGCAATGGAATAAATATCATTACACAGTTTGAAATTGGATTTGAAAAAAATATATATATATAAACTACTGGACTACACTAACAGTTCAATTACACCTGTACCAGTGTAACTTTTTTTAACATTTTCAAATAAATTTAGACTTTAGCTAGCAACTTGATTTAGCATTGGCTATGTTTGCTCTATTTTGTTTTATTATAAGTAAAATCAATTCTTTAACTAAATTAAAAATATAATTTTACAAAAATGAACTAGTCTATTCTGGACTTACATTTTAACTTTGGGGACTAACTGTGGCTAACTTATCTGGGACACTTTTTTGGCTAACCTACAGGAGAGTAATTTAAATTAAATTATTTTGGCTAACTTTACCCTTTTGTAATAAATTTGTATTATTTCACAAAGATGTTATTCTAGCTTTGATACAAATGTTGGCTAATTGATGTTTTTGCTCACTTGAGCAGTAACTTTAACAAAAGAATGGCTAAGGAAAAGATTGAAGAACCTTTGTGTTTCTAACATTAATATTGCTTCGATTTGACACAATGGACAATATATATTTGTTTTTAGTAGCCTTAAAAAAAGCAGTAATTGTAAGTTTTTAGTGTCAAGAAACCTGGCAAAAAAAGAAGATTTTATTGGAGTGCTCATTTATAATTTATCACTGTACAACATAGCACTGTTCATAAAACAGCCTGATGTTTTACAACTTTGCATGAGGACATTTTGTTTTTTGATTTTTTACATTCCTGGTTTTTAATACCTGTCAGATGGTCACCTGCCTCTGCTGCTGAAATACCAAACTCATCAGTCTGATAACAACTCTGGGCTTGTTCCCTGACTATGACTTTATTGATACTCTATCAACTTAACCCCCCCTAACTATTATGTACACTATAAGTGTTTGGCTTGTCTCACACACATAGTGATTCATAATCATTTTTTCTTTACACCAACACACGATGTGGGTTGATTATGTGTGGACAGTGTGTGGTGAGTGTTGGCAGAATAAAGTGAAGCTGATGCATTTTAATTTTTTTCCATTCTGTTATAAAATAATGTTAAAATGAACAAACTCTCTTTTAAGGCTAATATTAAAACATAATATTAAGGCAATTTAAAAAGTAAAAGTGATTTTTCTTTTCTTGTCAGAATGAAAACCTGCTGAATATTGTAAGGTTGCTGTTTTTCAATCATGCCACAAAACCTTCACCAGTATTTGTGGCATTTTACATTATGTTGAAATTGTACGACCACTATTATGTTTTATACTAAGTAAAAGCCTTACTGGTCTGCTAGCAGTGTTCTCCAGCACTAGATGGGGCTAAATCAGAGTTTTATCTGCTCAGGATATTCTAATGATTATGTATTTGAAAAGAAAAGTTTGTTTTCTCACATCAGAACAGTCTGAGTGGACAGACTGGTTCATTAGTAACATGGTGGTGGTGGGTGTTGGTAGTGGTCACAGTCAGTGTCGTGATAGGACAAACGTGACTCCCACTGCTTCTTCACTTGTTACGTTCACATGTTTTTTGTGTTCTTGTGACACTGAAGAGTTTTAGGAGAGTGAGTGCAGCTGAGGTGAATTCTGGGATGCTGTGTGAAGTCACCAAGGTTATGCTGGAAGCTGAGTGACCAGTAAAGACCTTTTCACAAACACTCACTCATTGTCAAGGTGAATAACCAGGGTGCAATTTGATTTGATCTTTTGATTTGACCAGATAAATGACACAATGACCCTATCAACAAATGATGACCTTGACTGGACTTCATGTTCCTTCAGGATCGGGGCTGCCCCTGCAGAACATGCACTGTGCGTAGGGCCCCATATTTGCAAAGGGGGCCTCATTTTAAATGATATGCTCATATTGCATAATTGATGCGCACTGCCTCGGAATATGACACGCATTAAGTGTGAGGCAGAGGTAACGACAGTTGTAATCTGACGCCACAAAGCCGTCACTATGATTATTGTCATGTCAACAATGTAACATGCATGGGATCCAGATTGACAGACAATATAAAGGTAGAAGTAAGAGAAAAAATACGATTTCCTGTTCATCTACGATACATATTTGCCCCAATGCCACAAATTTTCTTTTTTCCAGAATTTGAGGTTTGAACCACTCATCAGCAGATGTCCTCTGACGGGACCTGTCCACTCTCTCTCCTCTTTTTTCCCGGCGCAGGACTGAAGTGACAGAGGCTGATGAGCGCACGCAGCGCAGCGGCGGATGCGGCCAATAGGATCGCGGAGGGGCGGAGAGCAACGGCACACACTGTTGTACTACACTGTATATAGTCAGATAGTAAGAGCTGCTGGTGCTGCTGTTGCTGCCGCCAACAATAAAAGCGTCTGACGCTCCAACTCCATCCGGCATCTTTCTGGTTTATGGATTATACTCTGTTCCTGCAGGTGCAACACCAGCTCACCGTGTTCCAGTCACACGTCTACAGTGTGGAATTACAGGTAGGGTTTGCGTCCACCTCCACATGACACCAACATCTATTTCTCCTGTAGTGTTCTGTCCACGCGTTTGTCCAGAGCAGTGAGTGAGTGAGTGTGACTTTGAGGAGATGCTCTGCAGAACAGCAAAGATACGGGGTCTGTGGAACACAGCTGGGTTTATATATATATGTTTTTTTTTATTATTCAATGAATTGAATTTCAATTTTTATTTCCACCCTGATGTTCTTGTTGCATGTGCAGAGCACGGAGCGCAGCAGCGGCAACCAGTGCGCAGCGGTCCACATGCAGGTGGGTCCCAACAAAATCAGGCAGAGGCAGCAACAGTAATAATAACAACAAGTAGAGCTGGATCCTCTAACATCGCCGCGTCTGCTGCGTGTTGACGTTTGTAGGTGTCTAAGGTGTGAGGGCACCCCGCTTATTCGTCTAAGTGGTTTCCTTCAGCCCTTGACCTCAAAAGTGTAACTAAATCTTAGGTTCTAAAACTCCCTCACCCTTAGGCAAAACCTCTAGAGTTTGGGAATAAAATGCTGCAATTTGCAGGGGTCTTCGTAGACATTTTATGGGCCAAATGTTTATATGAAAAAGGGAACCCTTCTTTTCTTTTTCTTTTTTTTAAATAGTAAATATATAATAGTATATATAGATATTATTTACCAAAAAAGCTCATATTCCTGAGTGTGATGCACATATTGCAGAGTCACCTCGATGCAACACTGTGGTCCAAATTAAAAGTAATATAATGGAGTTTCCTCTGATTTTGATTTTCATAAGAGTTTCCAAAATTACATGATTGCTGGCACATTTGTTATTGCGATATAGAGTTATGAAGACAGGACTCTAATAAAGGCAGCATCTGTTGGGTCAGAGAGCAGTGAGCAGCACCTGACGTCTATCTGTGTCCATCTGTAAGTCAGCCTCTTCATTCCCCATGTAAATGGATATGAAGCAGAGTCACAGCGTCAGCAGCATTTCTGTCAGTTTTCTCTGCACCCAGGTGAGCTGATTAGTTGATTCCTTCAAGTTGACACTTAAACTGACATAGCTGCACAAAGAGACGTAGGCGCTGCTGCCTGGACTCAGAGAGGCCAGCACACGGTCACAGCTGAGGTCAGAGAAAATATGACAGAAGAAATTCAAAGATATGTTTCTCTCCTGCACTAACCCTTCCTTGTTTGATGAAGCTGATTTATCCTGCTTGAATTGATTAATAAATATTGACTATATTTTCATTTTTTATGTTACATTTCTTATACGTAGATAATATTTTCACCAGTTTTTCTTATTGGTAAATAAAAGACTTGGGAATTTGATAAAAGATACGTGCAGTAAGACAAATCAAGTCTCATCATTATTTAAAAAAAAAAAAGAGTTTGAAAACCATAAAAAAATATAGTACCAACATAACTGAACGTTTATCCCAAAATAGAGAAAAAAGAGTCATGATATGAGTAGTTGACGACTTAGCTACAAGACAACTATAAGTTGGTCCAGGAAAATCGAACTTCAAAGTAACCAACTACCCAAACCAATTTGTAAAAGGTTGATTTACAGGGGTTAAAAGTAGCCAAAATAATCCTCTTAAAGTAACCCTAAATTACTAACAAACAAATGGTTAAATAAAAGACAGTTCAGTGTGATAAAATGCTGAATATTTTTAATGACATGCTTTTTTATTTATTTTTTTTACAATTTATGATTAAAACATTTTTAACACATTTGATGTTAATTGAAAATGATCAGTTATATTAGCCTTGACATTCTTGAAGACAAAAAAAAAAAGAGATATGCACATGTAACTACCCGTACATTATGATAATCAGGGGAATCAAAGCCATGACATTGTAACAGTAGTCAGATTGAACAGTTAGAGCAGACAAAAAATGCGCAGTGTTTTATGAAGTGACCAAAAGGCCAATACTTAGATGTGAAATGGCATTAAATAAAAATGTAACTAATCATCATCAGCGGCAGCTCTGTAGCAGACAGGAGTGTATTTGTCTTGTGTGTGTGTGTGTGTTGTTGTGACCTTATGTGAAATGAGCGGTGTGTGTCATAGCAATAAGGAAATCTGCTGTGAATCTCTGCAGAGATAAACATTTTTCTCAACACGAACACAACACTCTTTGTTATCGTGTGTTAGGTCAACAACTTTAAAAGATGAAAGACCTTTGCTGTGATGTTTTACTGCATCTTTATCAGGCTAATAATTTATAGGCATGCTGCTGTTTTCCACACACACTGCTCTGAGAGTTCCTCTTGTTGCTGTTCTGTGCGTTCTGCTAAAGTAGTCTGAGCTCTCTATTTTTTTGGTTTTATTTTTTTATGGTCAGTTAAGCAAATTGGTAATATTTAGGCAAGAAATGTGAGAAATTAGTGTTTACAGCAATGATTATCAACTGGCAGTCCGTGGGCCAAATCTGGCTGTTAGACAAAATCTGAATATTATTCCGTTTTTTTGAGTGTCCAGCCCCCTGGGTGTCTGTCCAAAAAAACAAAAAAGTTCTGACCCTCAACACAAATATAGTTGGTGACCACGGGTTTACCCTGAGAGTGGAGAAATTGGAAAGAATGGCACAAAGTCATGCATTTGATAATTGATAAAATTAGTTTAATTATAAATATGAAAATGGAAAAAGTTTTTAAAAAATCCCCCCAAAAATTACTTAAATTCTATCTTTTTTCACTTGTCTTGATTATTTCATTCTTAATTAATTAATTAATTAATTTTGAATTATTAAACCTGATTCAATGTTGTTTATAGCATAAACAAAGTTGATTGAGTTTTTCTGAATATTTGTGTAAGAAATTGCTGTTTTCTGCCCAAATGTGAGGTGTTGGTATGTAGAAAATGAGGGCTTCTGGTGACATATCCAAAAACATATCACCATATATAGGTGACGTATCCAAAGTGGTTGATCCTGATCCTGTTCAGGCAAGATCTGGCTTAAATCAAACCCTGAATTTGTGAAATGTATTTTTAAATTATATGTATGTTCCAACTTAAGGCAAAAATCTGTGTTACATTGAAATTGAACTAATCTGTAAAGGTTTTTTTTTTTTTAAAGTCATCTGATACCACTGTGTCTTATATCACCAAAGATTATTTTATCTAGACTGAAATCCATAAGTTTTATTTCCGACACCCTTAAACAACACTTCACTCTCTAAATGCAGCAGGTGTCACTCAGTTCAGAGAAAATCTGCCTCGGACTCAAACAGCAGTCCATCTTTTCTGTCAAACACAGACTAAAGACCCAGATATTGATGACACTGTAAACTGTTATCCTACGGCCTGCAACTCCGTGACAGAGAATAATGCCCACAGAGAGAAGAGTTTCAGCATCCAGGTGCTGCGAGCTCCAACTCCATCTGCCTCATTTAAAATCCACTCCTCTCCCTCCAGGAATGGCATAGCTCCATTTTTCCTCCTGAAAACCACAAGATGGCTCCATCTTGGCACCGACACTTAAACCTGTTTCTGCAAAAAAATCTCACATGAAAGCCGTTCACTTTAACAACCGCACATTAAAAAAACAGACAGCGACAATAAAGCTCTGCTGGCGGAAACCCTTTCAGAGGTTTTATGCATCCATTCAGGCGCTGCAGTCATTCTTTGCTATTTTCGACAAAACTTTAAACTGAGTGAAATGTTAGAAGATAGTCACTTCTATTCTTCTGCTGGCTGCTGGTAATGTCTACTGCCTACAAATAAGACAAAGCTCTGCACTCCCATGTTGCCTGTGGTTCTTTGCTTTTGTAATGTTTACATAGATTTGCTTTTCTTTGCTGCTGCTTCTACTCTGTCTCCATTATTACTATTGTCATTATTATTTCACCAAAGTCTTTTTTGTTTAATGTAGCACTCACAAGCTAACAAAGAACTGAACTTTTCATATTTATCTTTATTTTACAGCTGTTTGGAGAAAAGAGAAGACAAATGTGTGTTATATCCATCTAATATCCACAGATGAATATTTTCTCTTTTCCATTCCAATATCATTATTATATGATCTTTAGGGTGGCAGGAAGTCTTTATTTTACTACTTTATGTTTGGTTACATATCTGCTGGGAAGAGAGTTATATCATACTCTAACATCTACATTCATTATTGAACAGTGTCCACAGAGTGACACCTGTTCTTACTTCATTTGACAGCTTGGAGCACTAAACACTGTAGCACGTCCTGACAGATTTGATGATATGGAAGCCTGGTCCACAGGTGCTTTCAATTTCGTTAGAAAGAGTTGGCATTAAAAAACTTCTACGTGAAATTCAGAGCTTGTTCTTAAAGTGCAAATGATGAAGCTACTTCAATGGTCATTGGTTGTGATGATCACTATTATAATTTTTTTGGTGGAATGTTCAGTGTTTGGGAATTAGACAAACATAAGGCCTGAAGGGCTGCAGTGAGATCCCGAGTGGCCCATAAATGGTATCCAGATTATGGGCCACATTGTTAATCTGTTTAATTACTGACAGGTTTCAGGCAGTTTCTATAACTTGCATTTTTTTACATTTTTGTTGGGACATTTTTAACATTACAGTTTTTTTGCCTTACATTTGTTCGGACATGTTTATTCTTTGGTTGCTTGATACAAGTGTTTTTTGGCAGTTGGCCTCTGCTAAATGCAATATTAAGCATTTAGCAGAGTTTGTTTCTCCTATTTAGCCTTTCTGAGTCCCATTTGTCTTCCTGTACCTTGGTCGTCCATGCTAATTAATGAGTCTCGTTCTACTTTTCTTTCTTCTCTTTATTTTTGTGTCCTTTGCCATCTTTTTTCAGCGCAGACTTTTCTCCCTAAACTTTATTACAGATTGTTTTTCCATTTGGTCCCTCTGCTCACATTATATAAGATTTTGTGTTGGTGGTTCCTGAAAGATGTTGATTAGGTGTGTTTTGAAGTGCTTTAAGTGATTTAGTCTTTCAGTGAAAGGCCCAGAGCCAAAAGAGGGACAATACCACGAGCCAGGACCAAAAATGTAGCTGTTGTTTTTATTAGCTTATATATTTACTGTTCTTCATTTGAAGGAATTCTATTCCTGTTTATTCATAAAGAACCACACTGGTATTCCTGTAGTCTCTTTTGCGATTGCCTTTTCAACTGTTCAGGACAGTTCCCTATCAAAGTTTACCAGGTAAAAACAGATGAAAAATGTGACAGAATATAAGTTTTGTAAAGAAACAAACAAAAAATGGAGATGAAAAAATAAAATAACTTTTGTTGTGACGAATGTGTTGATTATTTAAAACCACATTGTAGTTGTATTTTTATTACTATGAGTA